CGGTTCAGCCTTCCGACTGGAGAAAAAAATTATTATTAAATTAAATGAAACTGTTTAAAAAAAATGAGTAATCGAAGAAAAAATAATAAGAAAAAATTAACAAATATAATTATTTTTAATAAATTTTAGTGGTTAAAAAATGATAAAGAGAATTATAATACATAAAATCCTAGATTTACTTATTATGTTTATTATTATACAGTTTTTCAACACAAGGGCAAGTTCTAACATCCACATGAAAAGAGTGTTTAGATGATTATTACCTCCTTATGGTGGAAAATACATAGGAAGTTCATAGGGTATTAATTTTATCTCCCATATATTTTTTTTATACTTTCTCTTAGATATTTTTAATTGAACTTTAAATATAAATTATTAACTACACAAATTATTATTATTATTGAATATTGTATTAGTTGTATTAATTTACTAATATAAAAATAAAAATACAGTGAAAATATTTTATTATATAATAAATTAAAAATATAAAAATGTATTCTAACAAATTAATACATCTATATTCTTCGGATTGATATAAAACCCAAAAACTTAAAACATAATATATATATATATATATATTACTATGAATGTATATGGAATAGTGTTATTTACAACTTTATTTCTTTATATAAATAATATAACACCGATTTAATAATAATTGGTGTTACAAATATAGTTTTCTATATTAAATAAATAAGAAAAAATTCCAAAAATAATACTGATTTTTTTCAATTTTGATAAAAAATATTTAAATTTTTTTGTCAAATAAATATTAAACTTTTTAAGTAAGTCTAAAAAAACCAAACTTTATAAGGGATCCAAAAAAATACATGAATTTTTTTTCGATATTTGAAAAAATTCTAAACTTTTTAAGTGATTAAATTAAAAAAATACATGAAGTATCTGTTATTTTAAAAAAACATACTATAATAATTTGATGTTTTTGTATTTTATTATGTCACGTCAGTTCATTTTGTTTATTTTTATAATCATAGATAGTATTTTTTGATAAATTTGAAATGTTTAATGTTTATTTGGCAAAAACAAAATTTAATATTTTTTTGCCAAAACTGAAAAATTCAGTAGCTCTTTTTTTTCCAATAAATAACCTATATCAAGTTTCAATATATTCATATCAACAATTTTTTTAGAAAGATCATAAATAACAAATTTTTAATCCTATAGATGTGTAACTAAACATCGTCAAAAGTTTTGATGTGAGATATATAAATTTAATCATTTTTAAGATAAATTATAACTATAATAATTAAGAATATCATTTTTATTAGTAACTTATTACCATATTATCTTTAGAGTTCGAAAAAAAAAAACATTGAGGATCCAGAACAAATCATCGACATCTAATTTAATTCTAGACAATGACACAGCTTATTATTATTATATAATGAATAATGATTATTTTATAATAATTAAATTTTATCGATATATTTTTTATATTAAATAAATAATTTCTATCATCATTTTTATAATATTTGTATTAATAAATTTTATAAAAACATAATCTATATATATATATATATATATGTATAACAGAATAACTTGCGTATAGCGTGAGTCCTCATCTACTGACATTAAATTTCTTTAGAGAGATGATATGCTAATATATATCATTAGATTTATCACATAAATTTGTCACGTGACAAAAATAAAATCAAACAATATTATGTATGCATACACATGCAAACATGTATGCATATATGTCTATATATATACACACACTCGATTCGGAATGAGTTTTGTCTCACCCTTATTAATTGAGTCACCTGATTTACCATAAAAACGAGAACATATTATCCCGAAGTTTACAACATAACCCAAAAACTTCTTCAAATGGTAAAAAAAGACCAACTCAATCTCCTAAAGCGGCCTTTGTATTTGAACATCTCATTTGAGTTTCGATAAAATTACGGTGGACGTTTCAGGATTTGGTTCGGAAATTTGTAGCAAATTAGTATCATATATTATCTAGTTCGGTTTGGTTTCGGTTTTTATTAAAAAAAATAGATTTTCTGAAGAAAAAAAATCGATTTTTCGAGAATTTTGTAAATTTTGGTTCGGTTCAATTTCGAGAAATTGGATTCTATTAAAAAAATATACTGTTTGAAAATTTTAAAAGGTACAATTCAGAAAAAATACCAAATCGAAATATCCACCTCAGGGTCGTTTCAAACAATTTCGGAGTCCTGTACGATATAATTTACGACGTTAAACTATAAATTATAAATTTTTTAATTTTTTAATGTAAGTATAAATAACTAAAATAAAAAGTAACTAACAAATCTATAAATTTATGAATTTAATTTAGGACATCAAATTTCAAATTATATATAAAGAGAAAACGGTTTAAAAAAATCAAATTAAAAAGATTATGATAAAAGTTTTTTATTTTATTTTTAAAATATAAAAATTTAAAATATTAAAATGGTAATAATGTTAATCATTATAACTATTCTCTAATTATATTTTAAATTTTTTTAATAATAAATAAATTATATGAATTAAAATAAAATAATAAATATACAATTTTTAAAAATAAATAAATATGGGGCCTTTTTAAAAGTGGGATCCTGTATAATTGCTCCAGATGCACCCCTACGGCTCTGCGGACCACCTGTAGAAAATAATGAAAATTTCCAAAGAGAAATGAAGAACCCAAAAAAAAAAAAAAAAAAGAAGAGAAAGGCTTTGTACACTTTTCTTTTCCTACAACCACCACCACTCTGAATTCTAATAAAGCTTCCATGGAGAACGAAGAATTAAAAAAAAAAAAAAACGAATTCATAGTGTTCTGAAACTCTAAGAAAATACACAACAAAGAAAATCCTTTTCTGCCTCTTCACCATCACCTGGAAGGCCCTCTTCCTCACTCTTCTCTTTGAGCATCCGAACCGAGTTTCTGATTATAGTAAAAGTCCATCATGAACAAAATTCAGCTATGAATCAGGATACGAAGCTTGTGTCTTTTCCATTGCTTCACTTTTTCTCTTAACCATTTGAAGCTCTCATGCTTAGCATCAAATCTGGCGTAGAGATTGTCACATTGTGAATTGCCCACATCCTTCCTTCCTCTGTTTATGTTGCTCGTTACTGGATCCATTTAGAAAACTCAGGCCGAGACGAGGGATTGACCGCAACCTTTTGGACACTCACTACATAACCACATCTTTCATATTTCACGCCCATTGACAAGTTGAAAACACTGCTGTTCTTGCATGATCTGCAGTCTGTTACTATCTCTCACTTCTCAGGTAAAGAAGCTTGGTCGAATGGACTTCACACGGTCATATCAATTTTACTCGAACATCTCCTTCCCATAAACGTCTACAAGTGCCTGAAGGGTTCTACAACCCTTGGAATCTGCAAGGATGCGACTTAACTTGGACTTAATACCCTTATTGGGAGAAAAGTTCCTCTCAAGCATGCTCTCAAGAAGTCGGACTGCAACTTCAATCTCATCACTGTTAAGGAAACCCCAAATAACCGTGTCAAATGAAATGGCATCCGGAGGACAACCCATTGCCTCCATTTCAACAAGCAACTCTCTCGCTTCAGATAGCTTCTTGCTCTTGCAGAGGCCATGGAGCATTGTATTGTAGGTTACAATATCGGGCACCAAACCCATACCTCTAATTTCATCAAATTTTTTCCGAGCTTCTTCCAGTTTTCCATTTTTTATCAAACCATTAAGGAGGGCACCATATGCAAATATGGAGGGAGACTGACCAAACTTGTATGCTGAATCAAAAATTCCTTGCGCAGCCTGCAGATCTCCCGATTGGCTTACATAATGAATAAGGATGGTGTAAGTAAACTCGTCAGGCTTCAACCCTTCACGAATCATCTCTCTTAGTAGCTTCAATGCTTCCTTAGTTTCTCCATGCTTGAAATAGCCAACGATCATTGTGCTGTAGGTAACAACATCAGGCCGAAGGTTTCCCTGCCTCAATGATACAAACAACTCAGCGGCATCATTTGACCTGTTGACCGTAAAAAGACCAGCCAAAAGTGAGTTATATGTATGCAAACTGGGCTTGATACCTCGATCCAACATGGATTCGAACACTTGAATCGCTTCATTCACTTTCTTGACTTTGCACAGACTATCAATCAAAATATTATAAGTATAAACATTCGGTGAAACACCCTCTCTTGCCATTTTCTGGATCGTCTTTCCAACTTCTTCCCACATTCCTAGTTTGCAGTATCCACGAATCAAAGAACTGTAAATGATCACATTCGGAGAGATTCCTCGAGTAACCATCTCATCGAATAGTTCGAGTGCCTCACGCAATCGTCCCGAGCTACTGAATCCATTAATTAGGTCACCAAAAACAATAACATTAGGGGCAACTCCATTATCTGTCATTTTCCGAAATACAACCATTGCTCTATCCACTGAACAGTTCTTGACAAGTGAATGGATGATCATCACGTAAGAACTACGGGCATTAGCCTCGCAACCACTATCCTCACGAAACCCGTTCTTGGACATTTTATCAAACACTTGAACTGCGTCAAAAACTTTCCCTTCCGAACACAGTCCTTTCACCAAAGTCGCGACCGTCACTGAATTCCCTTCCAGACCTCTCTTCATGATATCACCCACAACTCCAAACCCATAATCTATTTTCCTCTTATGAAAAAAAGTATTGATCAGAATATTCGATGTATACAAATCGGACTTCACCCCTTCGTACCTAATCTTCTTATACATGGACAGCACTTCCGAATACGCTCTGAGCTTCGAGACCGAACCCAACACATGGTTAAAAGTATCGATCGAAGGGATGGGTCTTGTCTCAATAAGCTTATCGAAGTAAAAAAGAGCACCTTCAAGATTCAGTTCGCCCGATTTGCATACTCGCCTTACCTGGCGTTCCAATTCGCTGGGAATCTGAGCACTGGATCTTTGAAAGAGCGAAGACCTGGAAGAGAGTGATCGACAACTATCTGAAGAAAGAGATCTGGCTCCCATGATTCTCGACATCGGAAAAGTAACAGAGCACTTCAAGCTGCGTCCTGTTGTCTTCCACTTCACACACGACAGGAGACATTCTCAGCCGGCCCTATTGGCTTTTATTTATATCTGTTTTCTTTTTCTACCGCTTTAGTTTTTAGAATGTTGTAAATCAACCCTAAATTATTGATGTGGTCTAAAATAACCCTTTTGTCCAAAACATCAATTGCTACCGTAATTTATTCTATACCAAATTAGTGGGATTGATTTGCAGAATATCTATATCCAGTTCCAGTTTATTTTAAGAAATATAAAAGAGCTTAACTTTATTGAAAAGTGAATTCGAGACAGTGGCAAGGTGTTTCATGACTTCATTGCCCATTACAAGACTAAATTCACTAGAAAACCAAGTCTATCTCTTGTACCTGCAATTCTATCTCTACAAAAAAAACCAAAGCTTAGAGAACACAGACAAGACAGGTTATCAGAACAAGAAAACTCAGGGAAAAGGCTTTAAGAGGAAGAGCTATCAGATAAAACTGAAAGCTTTGACAGTGAAAGTGACGATACACAGGTTGAGGAAGGATGAAACTTCACAGGAGGTAACAACACAACACTTCACCAGCAAAAGGACGTGTCCGGAAGAGAGCTGCAATCGGGTAGAATCTCTTGGACGGAGACTTTCCATCAGACCAAACAGATTTATATTCTGTGTTCCGGGTCATCAGCCACTAAAAGAGATCTACAGGCAACTAGTTACCCTCTCTGTACATTTAGTGCTCAAACACAGAATGATTTTATCAGTTTTACTCGAAGATCTTCTTTCCATAAGTGTCCACAAGTGCCTGAAGAGGTGCCTGAAGAGCTCTATGACCCTTAGAATCCGCGAAAAAGCGACTTAACTTGGACTTAACAGCCTTGCAGGGAGAGAAGTTCCTCTCAAGCATGCTCTCAAGAAGTTGCACTGCATCTTCAATCTCATCACATTTAAGGAAACCCCAAATAACTGTGTCGAATGAAATGGCATCTGGAGGACAACCCTTTGCCTCCATATCAACAAGCAACTCTCTCGCTTCAGATAGCTTCTTACTTTTGCAGAGGCCATGGAGCATAGTGTTGTAGGTTACAACATTAGGCACCAAACCCATACCTAGAATTTCATCAAATTTTTTCCGAGCTTCTTCCACTTTCCCATTTTTTATCAAACCATTAAGGAGGGCACCATATGCAGATATGGGGGGAGTCGGACCAGACTTGTATGCTGAATCAAAGATTCCTTGCGCAGCCTGCAGATCTCCTGATTGGCTTACAAAATGAATAAGGGTGGTGTATATAAACTCGTTAGGTTTCAACCCTTCATGAATCATCTCTCTTAGGAGCTTCACTGCCTCCTTAGTTTCACCATGCTTGAAATAGCCAACGATCATTGTGTTGTAGGTAACTGCATTAGGCCGAAGGTTTCCATGCCTCAATGATTCAAATAACTCAACGGCATCCTTTGACCTGTTGACCGTAAAAAGACCAGCTAAAAGCGAGATATATGTATGCAAACTGGGCTCGATACCTCGATCCAACATGGATTCGAACACTTGAATCGCTTCATTCACCTTCTTGACTTTGCACAGACTATCAATCAAAATGCTATAAGTATAAACATCTGGTGAAATCCCTTCTCGTGCCATTTTCTGGATCATCTTTGCAACTTCTTCCCACATTCCTAGTTTGCAGTATCCATGAATCAAAGAATTGTAAATGAAAGTATCCCCACAAAACCCATTCTCGGACATTTTATCAAACACTTGAACTGCATCAAACACTTTCCCTTCCGAACACAGACCTTTCAGCAAAGTATGGACCATTACTGAGTCGGCTTCCAGACCTCTCTTCATAATATCACCCAAAACACCAAAACCATAATCTATTTTCTTCAGATGACAAAAAACATTGATTAGGATAGACGATGTATACAAATCGGACTTCATGCCTTCGTCCCTCATCCTCTTATACATGGACGGCACTTCCGAATACCCTTTGAGCTTCGAGACCGAACCCAACACATGGTTAAAAGTAACAACCGAAGGAATGGGTCTTGTCTCGATAAGCTTATCGAAGTAAAAAAGAGCACCTTCAAGGTTCAGCTCACCCGATTTGCATAGTCGCTTCACCTCGAGTTCAAATCCGCTGGGAATCTTAGCACTGGTTCCTTGAAATAGCGAAGGCTGGGAAGAGAGTGATCGACAACTATCTGAAGGAAGAGATCTGGCTCCCATGATTCTCGACATCGGAACACTTCAAGCTCTGTCTGTCGTCTCCAACAGGGAGAGCGTTCTCCGCCCTATTGGTTTTATTTCTCTATTTTATTTTTCAACCCCTCTAACTTCTCAAAAGTAGAAAGCCGGATCTAAACTATTAATGTGATCTAAAATAACCCTGGCGTGGAAAAAACATCAATCGCTCTAGTAATTTGTTTCATGCCAAATTACTGTAGTAATCTGCAATATATTAATAATGACTTCCAGTTTATTTGATGATTTTCTTTTTTCTAATATAATTTGTTGGAAAGTTGAATTTTGATCCTAAATTATTAATGTGATCTAAAATAACCCGTTTGTCCAAACATCAAATGCTACCATATAAATTTGTTTTATTACCAAATCAATGGGATTAAGGTGCAGAATATTAGTATTGAATTCCAGTTTATTTTAAGAAATATAAAAGAGCTAACTTTACTGCTGTGCGGGTCAGCAAAACTAAAATGAACTAAGGCAGAGAAATGTCTTGCACAGGGAGAAACATTATGCAATGAGAATGGTGAATTCAAGACTGCAACTCATGGCAAGGTGTGAATGGAGACAAGGGTCTTTCTCCACTCCACTGCCCAAATCTAAAACAAAGCTTAGAGAGTAATGAGACAAGACAAGTAATCAGAACGAGGAAACTCCGGGAAAAAGAAGGCAGCAGAGAAGGCAGCAACACAATTCTCCACCAGCAGAGCTGCACTAGGGTAGAATCTCTCGCTCGGAGACTCTCCATCAGATTTATGTTCTGTACTCCGGGGTCATCAGCCGCTAAAAGAGTTAGCCTCTCTGCACAACATCATCTACGGCTTAGGGAAAGCATGTTTAGTGCTCAAAACACAGAATGATTGTGGTGGTGTACCTTTAGTCTTTATTCCAGACCTGATTATATTAATTTTACTCGAAGATCTTCTTGCCATAAGTGTCCGCAAGTGGCTGAAGGATTCTACGACCCTCAGAATCTGCAAAAATGCGACCTAACTTGGACTGAACAGCCTCACAGGGAGAGAAGTTCCTCTCAAGCATGCTCTCAAGAAGCTGGACTGCATCTTCAATCTTCTCACCCTTAAGGAAACCCCAAATAACCGTGTTAAACGAAATAGCATCTGGAGGACAACCCTTTGCCTCCATATCAATGAGCAACTCTCTCGCTTCAGATAGCTTCTTACTTTTGCAGAGTCCATGGAGCATTGTGTTGTATGTTACAACATTAGGCGCCAAACCCATACCTATAATTTCATCAAAAAATTTCCGAGCTTCTTCCAGTTTTCCATTTTTTATCAGATTATTAAGCAGGACAGCAAAAGTAAACTCGTCAGGTTTCAACCCTTCACAAATCATCTCTCTTAGTAGCTTCAATGCTTTCTTAGTTTCTCCATTCTTGAAATAGCCAACGATCATTGTGTTGTATGTAACTACATCAGGCCGAAGGTTTCCCTGCCTCAATGATTCAAACAACTCAGCAGCATCGTTTGACCTTTTGACCGTAAACAGACCAGCCAACAGCGAGTTGTAGAGATACACATCAGGCCCGATGCCTTGATCCAGCATGGATTCGAACACTTCAATCGCTTCATTCACCTTCTTTTCTTTGCACAAGCAATCGATAAAGATATTGTTAGTACAGAGATCCGGTGAAAGACCTTCTCTTTCCATTTTCTGGATCATCTTTGCAACTTCGTCCCACAAACTTAGTTTGCAGTATATACGAATCAAGGAATTGTAAATCATTAGATTCGGAGAGATTCCTCGAGCAGCCATCTCATCAAAGAGTTCGAGTGTCTCATGCCATCGTCCCGAGCTACTCAATCCATTAATCAAGTCACCAAAAACAATTACATCAGGGGCAACTCCATTATCTGTCATTCCCCGATATACAACCATTGCTCTATCCACTGAACAGATCTTGATAAGTGAATGGATAATCATCCCGTAAGAGCAACGCAGACTAGCCTCGCAACGACTACCCCCACGAAGCCCCCTCTCGGACATTTTATCCAACAAATGAACTGCGTCAAAAACTTTCCCTTCCGAACACAGACCTTTCACCAAAGTAGCGACCGTCACTGAATTGGCTTCCAGACCTCTCTTCATGATATCACCCAAAACTCCAATCCCATAATCTATTTTCCTCAAATGACAAAAAGCATTGATCACAATATTCGATGTATACAAATCAGAATTCACGCCTTCGTACCTAATCTTCTTATACATGGACAGCACTTCCGAATACGCTCTGAGCTTCGAGAGAGAACCCAACACATGGTTAAAAGTATCAATCGAAGGGATGGGTCTTGTCTCAATAAGCTTATCGAAATAAAAAAGGGCACCCTCAAGGTTCAATTCGCCCGATTTGCATAGTCGCCTCACCTCGAATTCAAATCCGTAGGGAAACTGCAGACTTTTTTGTTGTATGCCGTCTCGGATCATTCGAAAGAGCGAAGACGGCGAAGAGATTGAGCCAAAACTATCCGAAGAAACAGATTTGGCTCCTATGATTCTCGACATCGTGAAAGCCGCAGAACACTTCTGCTGTCTCCAATTCACACGATGCTTCACCGCACGGTTCTTATTATATTTCCATAGTTTTCTTTTCAGCCCCTATAGTTTTCTTAAAGTAGAAAACCCAACCTAAACTATTAATATGATCTAAATAACCCCTCCATGGAAAACATCAATTTTTCCTGTAATTTTATTTATACCAAAACTGATGAGATTACGAGAGTACTTTGCGGAATATTAATATTGAATTTCAGTTTATTTGAAAAAATATACAATATTTTACTGTATTGAATTTTCAATGAAAACGAGAATTAGCCACCAAAAAACTTTTTTTTTATAACTCTAAATTCTAAAAGGGATAATTCCATTTAAAACCTGTACTTTTCTCTCGTCGCAATTTAAACCCTATACTTTTTTTGATCCAAAAAAACATTGTACTTTTAAAAATTGGCAATTAAAACTCTATACTTTTAAAAATTGGCAAATAAAACCCTGAACGAAAAAATATATTATTTAATGCTGACATGGCATCCTAGTCATCTGCCACATCATCAATCCCTAATATTTAATAATATTAATTAATATAACATAAAAATAAAATAATAAAAATAAAAATAAAATTTTAAAAATTATACACATACATATATAATGAAATGATATACATATATACACATATATAAACATATTTATATATATACACACATATATATAATACATATATATATATATGTTTTATATGCATATATGGTATATGTATTTTTTTTCTAAAAATCATGCATATATCACATATATATATGATTTTTAGAAAAGCATGTATATATCACACATACATATAAAACATATTTATATATACATATATATATGTATGTATTATATAGATATATATATAAATATGTTTTATGTATGTGTGATATATGATTTTTTTCCTAAAAATCATACATATATATATAATATTTTTTAGGGAAAAATACATATATAACACATACATATAAAACATATAATAATTATACACATATATAGATATATATGTATCATATGTATATATATGTATATATGTATATATAAATATATTTATATATGTATATAATTTTAAAATTTTTATAAACATGTTTATATATGTGTATAATTTTTTGAATATATATAATTTTTAAAATTTTATTTTTATTTTTATTATTTTATTTTTATTTTATATTAATTAATATTATTAAATATTAGGGATTGATGATGTGGCAGATAACTAGGATGTCATGTCAGCATTAAATAATATTGTTTTTCGTTCAGAGTTTTATTTGCTAATTTTTAAAAGTATAGAGTTTTAATTGCCAATTTTTAAAAGTACAATGTTTTTTTGGATCAAAAAAAAGTACAGGGTTAAAATTGCGACGAGAGAAAAGTACAGGGTTTTAAATGGAATTATCCCATTCTAAAACAATCCACAATGGAAATGAAGGGGAAAAAAAGAAACTCATATTAGATTATGTAATGAACGACCAAAAAATAAAATCACCAAAGACAAGACCTAAGCCAAATCCTTTTCTTTATCTGCACGAAAGTTGTTCTGTCTCTCGGTCTCCAACTCAAGCTTAAGCTTCTCCACCATTACCAGAAGCTCCTCTTCCTTACTCTTCTCTTCCCCCACCGCTCCTTCACCTCCTAAGGCTTCTATTATAATGGAAACCCGAGCCCTTTGATGCTCCAAGCTCTCCTTCAACATCATCAGCTTCTCCAACATCAGGTTTCTATCCAAACCCACCACTCGAACCTCTTCCTTATTACCTTCTTCCTCATTTTTCTCACTCTCTTGGCTTGTTGATGATCCTGTAGCTTGGTTTTGTTTTATGTTAACACCATCATCATCATGACCTTCGAGTTCCGCTGCTTTCTTGTCCCGGGCTTGATCCTCTGCAGCTTCTTCCGGTGGAGTTGTGTTCGAGCTGCCTGAAGTGTCTGACTCTGTCGGGAAGATGGGACTAAGTTGTAGGTCGTCTTCACGGAAGTTCCACCCGCTGATTCTCCTGGTCTTCACTATATTCTCATCATCATCATCTTCTTCTTCTTCTTCGTCTTCTCCGGCGTTTCCATTCTTCGTCAGGCTCTTTCTTTCCATAAACCTCTGCTCAACGCTAGACAAGCCTTGCAACACGTTCTTTACCACAAAGTCCGCCCCTTTACATTTCTTGAAGAACAGATGCTTCATCAGCTTCTCAGCGGATGGTCTTTTTGCCGGATCTTGCTCTAAGCACAAACCCACCATTTCTCGGAAAGCCTTTGAGAATTTCTTGTTACCCTTCTTCCCCCCACATGTGCTGATCTCATAGTCGGAGAAAAGGAATCGTTTTGTGATCTTCATGAGCAGACTCTTCAATGGTGGTAAGTGAGACAATGGGGGTCTCCCGTGTGCTAACTCCAACGCTGTTATCCCGAATGACCATATATCCGCCTTAAACCCGTACCCTGTGTGAGAATGAACTACCTCTGGAGCCATCCAATATGGCGTCCCTGCCATATCAGTCAATCTTAAAGATGATGATCCCGTGCCTGATGACGTCAAGGGTTCATATATTGATGCAGACACCCCAAAATCAGCGAGCTTCACAGATCCATCTGAATCTACAAGGATGTTTCCAGCCTTGATATCACGATGAAGATGGCCTTGATTGTGGAGATATGAAATTGCATTCAGAGTCTCCCTAAGGAAGACAGATATGCAATTTTCAGGTAACCCATCAGGGAAGGAAGACGAGACGATGGAATAAAGAGAGCCACAGGACATGAATGGCATAACCACCCAAAGGCACCGGCTAACCGTAAAGGAACAGTATGCGTTGAGAATATTCGGGTGTGAAAGCAAAGACATCGTCTTGGTTTCCCTCCGTACACTGTCGAAATCCGCACGTGACTGATCAAGATCAATAACTTTGATGGCAACGACCGCAGAGTTCATAGGAAGGCAGATGGCCTTGTAGACAGTGGCACTCACACCAACACCGATCTTGCATATGAGCTTGTAAGCATTGAAATCAAGAGGGAACTCGGGCTTGCTCTTCTTTGTCATCGTTAAATGTTCTTGGTCCTGAGACATGAAGAAAGAAAATGGTCTCCTTGATTTTTTCTGAATTGTGGTCTTCAGGGGCTACACTAATTTGTACTGTTGTATCAGTGTATGTGTGTGTGTGTATATATATATGGCAAAAAAGAAGAGTTAGGTCGGGCGGTTTGGCATGTGACCATAGAGAAAGACATAAAGCAGTAATAAATTGAGATAGTAAGATGAAACATGTGAACCACTAACCAACTGAAATTGGGTTTATGAGATCCTTACCTTTGGTCTTTTCCAAAATTGAAGGGGCAAACAAAAACCTGAAACACTTCCAAAAGCTCAAGTTAATGTTTGAAAGATTATACAGAGAAATATCTTCAGTTCAGACAGATCAAAATAAAGTCTACTTTACCTGATCAGAGCATGCAACTGATGAGCCGACACTGATTGATCTGAAACTTCAGATTAAAGATTACAGAGCATGAGAAAGACTATACAAAACTCAAGGACCTTTGGCCAGAAGAGAAAGACTAGACTTTATGGGTAATTAAAATTGGTTATGAAACAGCTGAAATTCCCAATTGTGTTACAAGAGCAATGAAACTGTTTTGACTACTTGGTAATCCCCTGATTCAAGAAAAAAACTCACATTACCATTGAGCCAATGGAATGCAAGTTACATTAGTAACTGATTGATCAAACAAAAAGTTCATATTATCGATGAGCAAACAGAAAGCGAGCTACATTAGGAGTCGAGAATATAGATTGCTAGTTCGAGTCTGTCATCTGTACAATGTAAACCTCAGGTCTAGGCTTCATTATGGTTACTTGATGATAGGTGTGAACTGTCCTGTACAACAGAAAGGAAACATAAAATTGAATTAGAAGAAGAGAGATGGGAAGAAAATCCCAAATCTTTCATCATCTTGCCAGAGATATTCAACTCAATGTTCAAAAGGCAATTCATAGAAGAGAACCATATGGATATAACAATGAGTAGCCAAAGATGAATGCTTGGATTATAAAGCACATTATCAATTGAAAACTGATCTGACAGTAAGCTAAGCTGTATCCTAACACCCACTAGAAAACAATAGCAAGTCTAGCACTTATAAACACCTAGGAGACAAACTCTTGGACCAGTAAATGACTGCCCATTTTGTCCTGTGAAAGCCAATGCAAGCAAAGAATTACAGTCAAAATACCAAGCAACATGACCATGTCTGCAGCATTAAGAGCCATACTGATCACAAGACCAATACTTGCTTGTACAGCTAGACACATCAAGTATACTATAATTTAAATGGGAATGTATTATGATGAGTCTTACCATACCAGTGAATGCACTTTCTCATTCACCCCACACAGGCCTTTTCCCCTTGCCTTTCTTCTGCTCCACAATATACTCGTAAACTCTCTGACTTTTGCTTCGCATCGGCTCAATCATCTTCTCTGTCTCTTCAATTATCTGTTTTGGCAGGTGAACTTCCAGAAAATCAAACCATTGTCCTAGTGTCATCTTCCCCAAATCTACATCCACCTGGTCTACATTTTTAACATGAGACATCTTAGTACCCTTTTCCTCATCACATCTATCACCAGTTGCCTCACTGCAAGCCTCTGCATAATCTCTCCCCTTGTCAATTGTGTCATGGCATTCTTCAGGTAAATCCAGATCTCGCAAGTCCTCTATTTCTTCTTTGATGGTACAGGTTTCACCCTCTTCTCCTAATGTAGTCTTCTCTATAACTACCTGCGCCCGCTGCATTAGCTTAGCTCCAGAACCCGCTGCTCCCTCCACTTCACATTTGTCATCAACTGCTTCATGGGAATCCCTCTCAGCCCTACAGTCTATTTCCCTATCAATTAAGTCACAATGTTCTTCACGTAAACCCATATCTTGTTCATTCTCCATTCCTTCTTCAACAGTAGAGATTCGTCCCTCTTTCCCATCCCTAATATTAATTAATATATATATACACATCATATTATGTATGTCGTCTGGGAAACTGCTGAGCTTCGAGAGAGAACC